CGGTGTTCGGGAGGTCATGGGTTCGATTCCTGTCGGGGACTCAGAATTTTTCTTTGTCCCACGCTCGTGTCATGTTGATTAATTCACCTTCACAATACTTACGTTACTAGCAATAGTGTTACTTACGCTGGCAACACAATACTCTATTACAATTGAATACTGGCATTGCAGAAAATATAATAACTTACAATACCGGCTACTTACACTACCAGCAATACAAGATTCTACTTACAATAAGTACTTGTATTACTTGCAGAACATATATTTACTTACAATACTTACATTAAGTTACGCGAAATACTAAGGTAAGATATCGGTTTGTGTCTTTGTGTACGTAGTGTGTACAAGCCGTAAATTTTACTGCCTTCCGCCTAGTGTTGAAAACACTCTGACATGTAGCTCTCAGTAGTAAAGGTTGTTTTGATGCCCTTAAGGGTTATGTCAATGTTGACTTGATTTTGTTTCGACTTTCGTTTTCTCCCTTTTAGGCTGATTCAAGCACGACCTTTTGCCATTTCTTTCTTTCGAAAATGCATTGATTTAGAACTAACACAGGTAAGCGGGTCAAAAAACTAAAAATACAGCTAGTAATGACACCCATTTTTCCTAATGAATACAACCTGCTTGTTCCCAGGACTTTAACTTACTCCGAAAGAATGAGTTTAGTTGACCGCGAAGAGTAGACTGGTGTGGAACCTGTCTTATACGTCTCTCTACAATTTGAATTGACAGCAAATTGGAGTAACCAACAAGAGAGCGCACTACAAAACCGAATAACAGAAGCTTTTAACCTTCTGGTAGTAAGCAAAACAAAGATTGGACATTAGTAAACTGATTTTCGTTCAAATGCAGCTGCCGAAATAAGTCAGAATAAAGCATGTTTTCCCATGAAACAAAACATGTTAATTTAGGCATTTTTTTTGGTGGGTGAACACACAACTGTTTTTAACGTAAAATGAAATCATCGCAATGTGATTCTTGTAGCGTTACGCTTTACAGGACATTCTAATTTGGAGCTATGATTTATACCACTTTTAATCCTATTGTCCCTTATATGGTTACTCAGGTTAAGCCCAGTGTTAAGCGCGCCCGCGATCTGTACGAGGCAGCTGTAGATCATTTTGGGACTTCTCATCCTGGTGAGTGTTTTGTTTGCAGGGGAGGGGTGGGTGGAGGGTACAGAGAGAGCTTAGAAACTTACGTAAATAGACTATTTTACAGTTGTGTGTATAGTTACCTTGCCTATGAATGCAAGCGAGGCTGCAGGTGACCTTGCTTTGATACAGACCTCTCTGCTTTTCTCATTTAAATGCCAAGTAGTTAACATAAGAACAACTTTATTTACACAACAAAAGCAGCGAGGTCTTTAACAAAGCAAGGTCACCTGCAGCCTCGCTGCCATTCAAAGGCCAGGGGCCCGTTTCTCGAAAGCCCCGGGAACTTTTCGGGCCCATAAAGCCAGTTTTAGTTCATCTGTATCTAAAAACGGAGAAGTGTATACGCCTGAAACTTCTTGTATCAAGGGAACCTCTGTTCATATTAAGATTATGTGGGCAAAACAGCTCTGTAATCGTTAAGTTCGAGATTTTGTTATGGCTTTCCGGGCCCGAAAAGTTTCCGGGGCTTTCGAGAAACGGGCCCCTGGTCACTGAACAGACAAATGTAAAATGGTCCACTGACAAATAATGTATTCAGTCAGATGCAAGTCTTCTGTCGCAACTTAGAGAAACCTACTCTCCACTTGCCTGTTTTCGCTGTAATGTTTTTCTAATCACATGCAACGAGACCTTCACACGCATTGTCAGTATATAAAGAACTCATAAGAATCTGACTTGTAGTTTTACGAATTTGAAAATGATGCCGAATGAGTCATCGAAACGCCTTTCGAAATTATTGTCGCTAATTTTTCTTCTTAATTGTTTATCCAAAGCCTCCGTTATTACAACGTCTTTGTAAAAGTTATAAGTTCGGTGCAATACATTTGTGTAGGCTTGCGCTAATAAATGTGTTGAAAGGAGAGAACTCTTGTATTTGTAAGCGATAGTTTTAGCGGGAACTGCGCTTGCGCTGTACTTTTGATCGCTGATACAGAATAACACATGCGTGTTGTTCGTAAGTGAAAAAATAGATGTTAACAGCACAATGCTGCATGCTGGGTTAACAAAGTGATTGACAGGTGCCATTTTATGAGGTCTACTGTTGGTAACACAATTTGTCTGACTGAATGAAACGCAGGCCAAAAAAAAAAACTCGGATTTGAACGTTCTTCTTCTTGTTAGTTTTTTCCCCAGTGATTTGCTGTGACCAATGACATCAATACTTCGTGTTTTCGCTTCGTTTTGTCCTTTAAAGGCTAGTTTTTTCCCGGTATTTCTGTGGTGAAACTTACTCAGCATGGCAGCAGTATATTTCTGTCAAAACATTTGTATAATTTCCGTCCTTGTCGTGTATATTTTACATCACCTTATTTTTGTCTGGCTCGGTGTTTGTTTGTGTCTTGCACGTGCATGTATTGTGCGGTGTATACACAGCTTGTGCCGGCTGTCTCGTGAATCACTGTGGGACTTCGTACATGTGTCATTTTTGGGTTCCTGTCTCGTCGGAGGAGGGCACGGTGGTCAAACGATTTGTGCCTCGGGCTATGAAGTCAGACTGAATTGATCATTACACAGAAGTGTTGTGTTCTTGGGCACGACCGGCACGCAATTCATATAGCTTCCCACGAAACCTAGGTGTTAAAAAGGGCTCTGGCGTGTTGTTGGGTCAACCTGAAAAAGAACAAAAGCTGGGAGATGTACACTGTAACAGCGTTTTGGCATTACGTGTATATTAAGGAGGAGAGACTTGATATGATTTTTTGTGGTACTTTTTTTTTATGGAAACCGGGATTAGGCGCCAACTCCGAGAGCTCGCTTCCTGTCTCGTCTCGTAACGCGGAGAACGCGAATAAGCAAGAATAAATATATTATTGTTAACCGTAATAATGGTAGTAAACGAAAAACATTCGAAATTGCACGAAAAGTGCATGTATGCATTTTGAAAAGTTGTTTAAAGTCATTCCATTATCTCATGGAAGAGAAAGTAATTTTGACGAAAACAAGTTTAATGAATCATCACGTGAAAACACCAGTCATTTGACGTATTTCTCTACGGTTTCATTTTTTTTGGATCGCTGTTAGTGTCAATAGGAGATTTAATGGTATTTAATGTGTATTCATAGAGTTAATCTTGTTAGCTTAGGTGGAAAAATCTTGACTGAAAAAACCCAACAGTCAGTCAATTTTTTAACTTGGGAATTCTTTCTTCATGACGGATCGTGAAAGATCAGATCGGAAAAAAATTAAATCCGCAAAAATATACCACAGTCAAAACAAACTTAATTTCTAATGCGATAAGCTTAAGGTGATGGGTTGATTTGTGATAACGTCACGTAAACTGAGGATTATGCCCGGGGATTGTGCGTCCTAAAGAACTTAGTGGCACCAAGAATTCCTCGTAGTAATTATCCGTGAAAAGAAAGCCAAAACTTATTAAACAAATCAAACGATATGAAACACAGAACCAGTTGTTCAGTCGTTGAATTAACAGAGCAATTCTCAAACATTGTTGCTGTAAAATACCCCGAAACCCAGAGGGGCTGGGGGCGGTATTCCCTATAGTGGCCCATACGGGAGGCTCCGCCCGAAAGGGATGCCGTATTCAGGCCTCAGGTATATTAAAGCGGGGCAGGGGTTTCACAAGTTGAAGTATATGAATTGGTAGGGAAATCTGTCATTTAGTTATTTAAAAGGACCTTTAATTATAATATTTCGAACCGGCGCCTTTTATCATTTTTAGATATTAGGCACTACATAAAAATGACAAGACGACTTCCTTTTTTGGCGATTTATTTTTAATACGGGTCAGTTATGAAAGCATCTGAAGGGAGTACTTTTTTCAATTAAAGGTATACGAAAGAGTTACCTTTTCTTTCAAAACGGTATACAAAAGGGTAAGGGGTTGGACTTCGCGGCGGAGCTTTCTCGCATAGAACTTTGTAGAGCAGTCCCCCCTGGGAAAACACAAAAGTACCAAGGATTTTGCAATCGCATGAAAAGGATATTTTTGTTTAGAACTAAATTTAGATTTAAGCTCCTCAGTGGGTGAACATTCGGAGGAGTTTTATTATGTAAAGGATCTTTATGTTGGATGTTAAGCAGATGGATTTTCGGTAGGGGTCTTAGTTAATTGCTATGAGGTAAATTAAAGTGATTTCGATGGATTCAAGGGAAGTTTTCAGGAGGTCACGGATCGGCCGTGTCCAACAGTTCAGCTGTAATTATCACCTTTGTGCTCACAACAAGATCAGAGTTAGAACCATGAAATTGTTTATGTCTATGAGTGAATTTTATGCCGAGACTAGTTTCGTTGTGGACTAAAACAAAAACGTAGAATTCAAGAAGGACTGATTATCTGGGGTACTAAGCCGTTCAATAATGGTTGCTAGACCCATTTTGTTGGCTGTTTCCGTAAGTTAAGGCGGCTGTATGGATTTTTGAGTACGAGAGAGTCGGTGCGACAGAACTGTTAGCTTGTGTTTTGTACGGCTCGCAATCTAAAAGCGAGTAGAACTCTGGTTAACAACAATTAATATCTAATGGGTTACACATTTGGTTTAGAAAAACTAGAACAATCATTTGCAAACGATATAATTATTTAAAGGAGCTTGGCACGGGGTTAAACTGTCCATTTAGCCTTTAACTTTAGTGACTGAGAAGTGCGCTTTCTTTTTTGCTCTAGGTATTTAGTTAATATGTCTTTTTTTTTTTTTTATGTCCTTTTGCTTCTTTTTTTCCTATTTTGTAATCGGCTCACCGTAAACGGCTGGATGGCTTTCACGACGTAGCTTTTAGTAATACTCCACAACGTCATTCTTTCAAAACATTTAGAGCAACTATTAGTGTATTTCCAGAAACAGAGCAAATCGAGGTTTGAAACAGCAAATATATTTTTTTATTACATTAGACGTTCGATGAAGTCAGAGCATATTTAAATGGCTAATTTAGCACACTGCCCCCGAGGTAAATTTAGCGATTAAAATATGCGCCATTTTATTTTTTAAGTCAGTATTTTCTCCATTCTGGTTTTTGTTTACAAGTCTTGCCGTTTCAGCGGTTTCAGGTTTGAGCCGTTGTTTTCTTAGCCTTTGTTAAGCCTATTACCTTCAAACACTTTCAAGACTTTGTCCGTCTTTTTTTAATACGCAAAAATAATAGCGTGGCTCTAATCCCCATCATTACACACGATTGTGGATATCGGTGAATTTTTTTTTTGATTTGTGGTGTAATCCTTGTGAATGAGCCTGTTGTCGATTACGTAAGGAAAAAAAGGGGTTTTTGCCGGCGTTTTCTGGAAAAAAATCTGGTAGGCATTGACAGTATTTTGTTATTTGTGTAAGAAATGATTATTTTTCCCCTTTCATCGTGTTTTCCTAGGTGTGCATCTACAGTATTGTTGTCTGCTATCGCTTTGACGCGCTGCTTTCAGCGAATTTTCTTCAGTTTCTTTTTTCTGGTCTATGACTTCGTCCAATTTAGCAATTTGTTTTCCCCAAGGTCAGCTCAATGCAGTTCATTGTCACCCCGCCCATTTTTTGACAATTTATTCTCTTTCTTTGACGGTTTAGTATTTTTGTATGGTTGACACGTATTAAGAGATTTTATTCGAATTGCAAAAAGCGCAACTAAGCTTCTTTGGTAAAACAAAAAGGGATTCCGAATGTTCTTTGCAAAAATTGGATAACGAAGAATAAAACTGTAGAGAATCAAAAAAGGTTATTCGGTGTTCTAATGTTCCAGGTTCGAAATGCAAAGCTCTGTTAAACTCTTGTTCATCAGCTCCCTGTTTTGAATTCAGTTCCAAAATTTGAGGTAACTCTGCTGTACGAATACGAAACCTAAGAAACGATGTGCAACTGATTTCAATGGAATGTGTTTTGCTGTTTTTTTTTCTCCTACTTGATAATGAAGTAAACAGTCTGACTAATATGTTGAAAGCGTTTAATCCGTTCGGGGATTCTCCAGTCTGCTCTACCTATGGAAGCAGGGGATTGTCGGGTGAATCCAATTGCGGTGAAAAGTACCCACATTACCCCGTATTTGAAGCAGATTCTGTTTGTAGACTCTCGGGAAGGACATGAATGACACCCAGGGCAGGAAAAAAAATTGAAATCCACTTGCCCAGTGGGCCAGTAAATTTCAGTTTTCACTTGCCCCTACTTAAATACTACTTGCCAACGTGCCGGCCAGTATGGAAATCAGAGGACAAACGTGAACAAAGTATGCTTGGATTCCTAGCTAATCCATGGTTTCAACCTAATGGTTAACTAATCTTACAGTCTTAAGCTTTGAAGTAGTTTCATTTATCGAGCTGACACTTTCATTCAGACTTGCAAGACTATTGAGGCTAATAATATTATCATTTTTCATGTGCCCACCGGGCCACTGAACTTCTATTTTCACTTGCCCAACAGCAAAATCTACTTGCCCCGGGCGATCGGACCCGCTTTTTTACCTGCCCTGATGACACCCGACCAATGTCCAAGAGACATTATGTCCCGTGTCCATAGAGAAGCGAATCATGATTACTGTAACACGCTGTGTGTTTCTTATTTCTCCCAGATCTGTGGCTGGACTATATTCGCCTTGAACTTCAGCATCCTTGTGGTAAACTAGACACCGCTGGAGAGCTGTATTGGCGGGCAACCAAGTCTCTTAACGGGGAATTTACGGAGGAATTTGTCGGACTTTACTCTTTGCTGCAGGCGGGCCGTATATAAAATTAAATAATAGGGACCTTAAGCAATGACGACGTCTGGAAAAATTTGGTTTATACACTCCTTTTCTCTCCCGTACCCAGCTCGTCGCTGGCCCGCTTTTTCGATCGTCCCCACTGACCGAGAGCCGGGAACTGGCTATAGTTATCTAGATCAGTTTAATAGGCCGATCGGTCTAAAAACCTGCTAAAACTAAATATGGAATGCCAGGGATAAATTTCAGAAGCAAATACGAAAAATTAGCCATCGTGGCCCACGTTCTCCAAAATGCTCAGAACTTGGTCATTTTACGATGTTGTGCAGAGGACGGCTATGAAATGTACAAAGACTTACAACGTACGTGCACAGCCACTGTTCTGCTCATTTTGATGACGTTGTTGTCGCCGTTCCGTTGCCGTCGTGGTTTGCTTAAGCTCCTTAATTGTTTTTTCTTAACAGACACCGAGGTCCTCTCTCACTTACCAAAGCTGAGGTGACAAAATCATCAACTACGTTTTGAAGTCTTGAATTAGCAAGAAACAATCAGAACTAACATTGTACAAAAGAGTGGCAGAAAAAAAAAGCGAGAATTGTAAGGTTTCTCACCTTCACAAGCCAGAAGTACAGGCAGCCAAAAGCCTTGAGCTGGATATCTTGCAGCTCTAGGCTAATGATCTGACTCACTGATAGCTCAGACATCTTATAACATTTAGCTTGAACTTTTCAAGTTCGCCGTGCCTAATCCGTCTTCATCTGCACTATTGTTGTTCACATCGTTATTGCATCAGATTTTACGTGACCTCCTCGAGGTTTCACCTTTTAAATAATTTGAGTGTCTCTTTATTGAAAGGGCAATCCCCCAGCTGGTATATCATGTTTTCATAAGCGAGGCCGGGAGCTTATTAGCCGCAAAAGAAAGCGACGATGACTAAAATGCATCGAAATTGCACCATAGTGACAATTTTGATTTCTTGATTTTTGTCGCAAAGTCAAATTGGATGAACAATAATCCACTCCAGTCCTCGTAATCCAGTACTTCTTGTCCAAAATTCTTGTACTGTTTAGCTCTTCAAAATCTTTTTATCCAATTTACTTATTTATTTCGTGGCATTGTGTAATATAATATGAAAATTACGAAGCAAAAGTTTCTATAATCAGCTGAGACATTTATTATTTTGTATATTATGAGAATATTTGGTGACATGCAGCTGTAGGTCAGAAATGTTACTGTTTTAACATGTATGGACGATGCAAATGAACCTCAAATACAGTTCTATTTTTGAAATACCAAATTGCATACAACGTTGACTGGTGGTGGTGTGGTTATTCGTGGTTCTAGGTCAAACAGTTGAATGGCTCGCAGAGCCTGGTAACTGTTGATCCGCCCGAAAAGCTCAAAGCTTCCTTGTCATCAGCAAGCTGCCTAAGACGATCGAAAACACAAGTGGGGGAAAATAAACAGGTACAGGCGAGCCATGCTTAGAAATGTTGCATGGTCACATTAATACTTTAGCTCGAGAATCAATGAAACCCTTTGTAATGGCAGACAAAAAAAATGGATGTTGCCTTCGAGTCCGTCATAGTCCCTTGGTGTTCTAAAACCATTTTGTTTTTTATTTGTTTGGAGTCATACTTAAAACTACAGCCGACATAATCCAGTGGAATCTCAATTTTCGGAACGAAAATTTTTTTTTTCCTTCATGAGAGCAAAAAGAGTACTTCCAATAATCTGAAGATTTGTCTGTACGTGACGTTCCTGCTGTAGTTTAAATATGGCCAAGACAAGTGCCAAGAAAGGGCTACTAGACTTCCTCAGACTCCTCTCGTAACATTCGCGGAGGCTTTGTCTGATTTTTTTCAAAAATTAAAAAAAAGTGGATTGTGCCAACGGGAAACAAGCATGGGAAGTCTTTACAGTGCCGAACAGTGCTGTGATCCAGACAGCCTGAAGACGTAATTATGAATGCCAGCCCTGCGGAAACCATTAGTCTTGTCTGTTTCGGTGTTCTCTCTCAGATCACGGAAAAATTCGACTGCGCGCATTCCGCACTTCGTATTGTTTTTAATAGCTCTCTCAGAGTATCTTCGCAACGATAAAATTGTGCACTGGTTATATGAGAGTTTTTTCCCTTCCTATCAGAACGTCGTTAGGCTCGTGTTCCGGCGATTGTGAGTACGGGCCACCACCCTCAAGTTCATCAACACCATCAAGTTCATTTATCAATGTCTGTAATCTGAATAAAGTGTGGATTTTCTTTCAGTTTTTTTGGAAATTGAAAATGAAAAAGGCTGGGTTATTTTTGTGACCTTTGGAATTAGAATGGACTTAGTGGAATCACGATTTGAAATTAAATCGGCCCATGTGAAAAAAAAATATATATATATATGAATAATCATGTTTTGACACAGAGTTTCTATTTACCCAAATGTTTTCACCTAAAGGCGGGACTTGTGAGAGAGTGACTTTTTGCGGCGGAGCCGGCATTTAATGTCCTCGCGAGGACATAAAATTCGCGAGAGGCAGGGACTTCCTCGCGGCTTCGAATTCACCGCTTTTGTAAACGGCTTCGCTACCAAAAAAAAAATTACTCCCGCGGGAAATTCCGCCAGCTGCGCAGGCTGCTTACTATGAATTAAAGAGTTCGCCTCGGGCATACAGTCCTTTTTGGCGGGAAACCATTTAAGTCGCAAGTACCTCACAAGTTTGCGCGGTTTGTGATAGACGCGCAGAATCCCGGCAGAGGCGAGATATAACATCTGCTACCCAAGCTACCTCCCAAGGCCCAACGCGGGCAAACGAATGTAGTTTTGGCGGGAAGCCAAGCGGACTTGAGTTATACGCTCTTGTCAAGAACTGTCTTTCCATTCTTTGAGAGAAACGTAATAATCGCATTAATCAGTTGGTGTAGGGTATAATTAGCCAATGTTTTCATCGTAAAACGATGCCATCTGTACTCCTTAACACCAAAATAATTTTGTAAATTGGATGGATGTAGTATTAGTAGAGATATGAGCCACTGATCTTTTAATGATATCATACCCAATAACGTTCTCTGTTTACCTTTAGCATTCCTTGTTACATTTTCCCAGTTTTGAAGATAAATGAGTAAAGTATGTGAAACAGTGTAACAGTTAGACAAATTCTAAAACTTTCTTCACTTTCCCTTTATGAAAATGGCGAAAAATCAAGCTTCTTCGTCTCGTTGGAGTGTTGAGTGGCTGTGCGTATTAGCCTCTTTACGTGCAAGCATATCCTGTTCCGCTTAATTTCTTCGCGTGGGTAAGTCGTTTTTGTGTTGTCTTGGTGCAAAGTGACAGCTTATTCTTGTCTGCCGAAAGAAAGACAAAGCAAGTTTTCATTGTCTCGTTAACGTCACAGTTACATCTCGGCTAGATGCAACATCAGAATCATTCAATACGCAAGTGTAATTTTTTTGTGGGGGAATGGTGACATCCCACTGTTTAATAATTTCAGCTGTATCATTTTTAAAGGTTTAACCACAGTCTGGTAATAAACAAAGTACTTCGCTAATGATGGCAAGGATTTAAGAATTGAGACTCAAACTAATCGCATTTCCATTTAGTTTACTCGACGTCTGTAAACGAATTGCAATATTTACAAAGCACACAGATAGCACACAGCTATCACTGAGAACTATGCGAGGCTTTAGACTCCTGTCTGATACCGCAGTTTACGACGTTTTCATCATTAATCTTCTCGATGCGAATTTTTTGGAACAGAAACTTGGCCAGTCTTCAAATTATGAGCTTCAGACTACATTACGTACTCGAGTCTCGCGCCATCGGGCGCACATTATATACTTCTATCACACGAAGTCAACACAGTGCCAGAATTGAATTCAGTCCGGCCGCGGGGTCAATAAAATCCCGTCTTTGGTCCAAAGAACATTTGTAATGGGAGATATTTTGGATCTTAATTTTTCGTCTAGCGTCGCGTCAAATGTTATTTAGTGTCCAGTGTCTGAGCGAAGCGTCCACAGGGTGTAAGGAGGTAAACAGAACATTTCTGAGCTATAAAAGCAAATCGGGCCTAAAGCATTAGACATTTGCTTCTGTAAGCGTAAAGCATGAAGACGTTACTAATCATCGCGACAACTTTGCTGCTGAATGCGGCGAAAATTTCGCAATGTGTTCACGCTCGGAACTTTGAAGGTGGTAGCGGTGTGCACATGATTTACCCACACGAGGGATCTCATCCTAAAAATGTCCTAATAGGCAGTGGTCTGCTATTAAAGCCAGTTGAGAGCACTCAACCAAAGAGCATAGACGACTGCGAGGAACAACTTCAGAAACCGAGCGAGCGTGATTTGAATGAGAGGCGACTTCTCAAACGCCTTGGAGGCAAGATAGATGAGCGCTTTTTGTCAGTGACTGAGCCCTCGCAGATGTCCGACGAACCGATCGTGCAACGAGTTTCACTGCGTGGCATCACGACCGCAGAAAAAAACTTTCTCAGGCAGGTTATCAGGAACGAGACTATACCTAAGATGGGTAAAACGTCCCTATCTGTTGAAAGGTTTTTGATGAAATGGCTCATTCACAAATCGGACTGTCCTGTGGAAAGAACTTGGAAGCACTTGGGGAACTGCTATTGGCCGCGGTGGATCTCAGTAAGTAATTAGAAAAGGCTTGAAATGCTATAGAGCCAGCTAAACAATATCATTTTTGTGCTTTAATGCTTAGAATCCCTTTCTATGTCACCAATTGTGGCGACTGACTGAAACCGCCAGCATATATGAGATCATAAATTTTTGGCCCAGTGGTATGCCTCGGGCCATCTTTCAGTTGAGTATAAAATTTATTTTTGGCTTGAGGCTGTAGCCGTTATTTTGAAATGTTGCCATGTATAAGAGCTCATCGCGTACGAGTTTTCCAGGCAAACCATCAGGAGTCCGTTCGTTTTATTTGAAGAAAAACAGACAATTGTCGATGAATTAGAGAGGAAAGGAGAGCAAAAGCCAGCTTACTTTGCATGTTGGTGCAGATTTGCGTGTCAGAACGATAAAGATTGGATTGTAGCCTAACACGACTCAATCTTTCATAAACAACTGCTTGGAAGTGTAATAAGTGCTGCCTGTATTAAAGCGATTTAAATATAGACCAGACGCAAAAAGCACCTGTCGAGCTAAGGTCAAAGATTCACGACAGAAATAATATTCTGTATCTAACTGGATCATATGATACACGTGTATCAATCACAACAATAAGATTCCATATGCTGTTAATATTTCGAACTTCAGTATATGAAAAATGCCAAAAAACAGCCCTATACAGCTAGAAATGGGAAGAAAAAGAATTGTTGCTGACTCAGCTGCATAGTAGTAGAGTGTAGGCATTCAAGTATTTAGAAACGTCAGCGGTTTAATTAATTGGGACCACTGAATTAACTCGAACAAAGCGGGTCTTTAGTGGTTGCACTCTCGTCTGTCATGAGCAGAACAATCGACCGTTTAGTCGTTAAGAGCCGGGCCTGTACGCTTTCACTTGACTCTTGAACCCAGCTTTGCAAATGACACAAGCCAAACAATGCGTGGCTGTTGTATAAGGATCACAGGGTCTTAGGAACGTATTTGGTCGCTAATTTTCTACATCTTGGGTTTGAATACCGACAAAAAAAATGAAAATCGTTTGTGCTCATCGTTCCCGATGTCGAATTTAGCTGGCTTTAAAGTCAGGTTAAACGAAAACAAACGAGAGATGTAAAAAAGAGTCCAATTAAAGAAGAAGAACCTGATCAACTAAAAGTATGCAGGTTTCTTTTCGGTCCGGTATAGCTCAGTAGAAAAATACTCCCAAAATAATCCCAGGAGTATAAAAACAACGTAAAACACTGAACAAACAAAGGATTTTAATGTCGATAGCGGAGTAATGCTTAGTCATACAAGTCAACTTTAGGTTTCCTTGGAACACCGGACTACCATTATCTACAATTTATAGTTTTACCAGCGTGCCCTCCTGCGCGCTGCGCATGTAATTAATTCAACCGGGAAATACTTGCGTCAAAAAGTTTCTTTTCTGAACCGAAAAGAGATATTTAAGAACCAACGTTCTGTCGAAGGCGAAAGTTGGAGTGTACTTAGCCACAGCAATTTTATTGATAGTTCAACCGTGAACTGTGCCTTCCTCGAAAAGTTATTTTTATTGTGCACTTACTGTCTTTATTTGCGTTAAGGTAACTTTCAACAAAAATTCGCGTTCGGCTCAGTTTACCCCTGTACGGAGTAGTTTCAGGTATTGACTGCAAACATACCACAACGTGATCCAAGAACGAAACAGAAAGACGATCCGAGCATCCCTAGCATGATTTGTGCGACTATGTTTTTTGCGACTTGGCAGCCATCAACACATATGGATATATCTATCAGACAGTTTCAAATGACCGCTGCTTAGACATTCATACCAGACCCTGACAGAAGGAGCCAGACCAATGTTATCTTTCTTACCGGCTTAATCAAATTAATCAATTACGCTTAATACCTCACGTTCTATAAATGAGCTTAGTGGTATTCCGGATCTTAACATGCTCTGAGTTTCCGGGTACCGATTGGCAGGACATTAAATTGTGCCTTTTCAAATTTGTGGAAATTATGCTAAACGGGCCGTTAATGTTTTTGTGGCGTTAACGAATTCAGTGAGCCTGAACAAGCAGTCTGACAAGAATAAGCAAAGACCCTGACAACCAGACAAGGGTTGCAAGTATGCGCTTTGCAAAATAACTGACAGAGGCCACGTTTTCATGGTCAAGGCATTTATCGAGTATGGCAATCTACGATTAGCACAGTCGCGTCTAGAGCAGAAGTCGTCACTAATGCCCTTTTGTTGAGAACACGTCGTTTCTGATGCGTTTTGACCTGCCGTCCACACTCAAACGACCCAAAATTCTCATGGTGTTCATGGAAAACGCATGCATTTGAAGCGCTGTCCGCTGGAGTGGAGACATCCGAAAACTGAGCCCTAGCGTATTGGCGTGGTTTTTGAATTGACGGAGGTTTCCAAAATGCTGACGTCATTCACATTATGTCCGCATGCGCAAATAACATTTGTGGTGTTTTCCTATAGCATTTTAGCATAAGCGTTTTCGAGCAATTCAATGTGGACAGCGTGAAATCAGTTCAAACGGCAGTGTGCTGATGCAGAGTTTTCGTCTATACGCTTCATCGAAAACGCAACGTTTCAGAAAAGCATTAGTATGAACGGGGCCTTAATGACTACTTTCTTCATAGCTACTATGTAAATCCTTAAATAAGGAGATCAGTGGCTTTCAAATGGTATATTGTAAACAGGCGGAGAGTCTTTATTTGCTGATTTAAGAAAAACTGCCGTTCGCCTTAGGGGATAAAGGGTTAAGTAAACCGGAAACATTTTCTCCGACGTGTAGGTGTAGAGAGAGGGTCAAACTCCGAAACACACGCTAGAGTCTTTTAAGAACTTGTTAAAACATTCCCTGTCATAAATAGAGTCATGTTATGACGTCATTCTGGAAACATTACAAAACATAGCGTTCATTTTGCCAACGAAATATTTCATGTTGAAAGAATCCGTTTTGATCCTATTCCATTTCACGCATTACTATATTTCCTTTAACCCTTCTCCAAGTTATTTTTTTTTTTGCGTGAAACTGACTAAGCAGAAAGAGTTTTCAGGCTGCTAAGTTTACCTTAAAATAATGGATTAAAGAACGTAGTTTTCCTTCGCAGATGGGCCGCTGTGTAAACAAGCAGTGCTCGTGGCCTCATGGGATGTCGTGTGTTCCCTCTGATCCAGTCTCAGTGATGATGTTACGATGGCATTGCCGCAAAGTCCGAGACGGGCGGAAAGGGAAGAGACCTGGGGCCCAAGCTTCAAATATATCTTGTCGGTGGTCGAAGTTCCGTTATCCTATAATTAATAATTGTGCATGCAAGTGCAAAGAAAAGCCTCATGTTTCTGAAAGACTGTTGCCAGTGCGACCTCTTGGAAATTAATTAAGTTAAAAGGTAAAATGCTCTAAGTGGTGGCATGGCAACCAAAACGAAACTATACTTCATTCATCCGAAATATATGTAAAGCTCTATCTTTTGAAACTGATGGCCTCGTAATGCCTAGCAAACAGTTAGCTCCACTCCTTATACCTCGAGCCTTCCAGGAAAGGTGATGGGAACTGGCATGGGGTGGATGAACGGAGACTGGGGACTAAGACGGTGTGCATTTCAATCTTAACAGTATAACATAAACGATACTTTTCCAGCATAGCAAAAAATAACAGATCTGAAGGGAATGCGAGAAAACAAACAAAGAGGCAGACGAATACTATTTTGTCTTTTGCTGCTGCAGTACATGGTTGCAACGAATTTGTATTCTCTTCAGAAATATTCTGTTAAGTCTCTGACACTTTGCAGAAAATCTATTTATGTCGATGATTCTGGATAGCCGTTTGATTCATAACACTTTGACAAATGAGGTTCTAGTTATTTCGAGTATTGCGAAAGAACATGACCTGAAAAGATTAAATGATTGCTTCGAGTTAGCGTGAAAATCCAGGCATATCATATTCTGGTTCGAGGTAGCGTTACCGAGGGTCCGAGTTATCGTAAGTGGCTGACCGTAGTTAGTTTAGTTCAACACGGCTTAGCCACTGGATGGCAGTGATTTTCTCTTGCCTGGTGCATAATCTTCGTAAAATCCTGCGTCGTAGCTTCATTTTTTTTTTTTAGAATACCTCTCTTCTCTACCCCGTCCTCTTCATCTACTGCAGTCATCGGTATAACTGGAAAGAAACGGAAACGACGGGATTATAAAAACATTTCAAGATTTCTTTCTTCAGATCGACTGAAGAAACAGCGCTTAAATTGATAGTGAAGTGGAAACGTGATACAGCCATAAACGAGAGGTCGCTCGAAAATTGAACGTTGTTTAAAGAGGCGTGCATTCAGGAACGTTTCTGCGTCGTGTCGGCTTAAGCTCCTCCCAAGCTCTCAGGTTATAAGCTAACGCAAAGACCCCTAACAGGCTTACAGCAGGATTTTGCGATATTTATAAATGATTTAGTGGGTGCCAAGCACGTTCGCTAGGAGGCAATCTAAATAAATAAAAATCGGCTTAAAAGTAAAACCATTTAACTTTTAGTTGATATAGCCTTGTTAACTGCTACGATATCTTTGGCGCCCCCTTTTTTTTCTTTTAGATCACATTTCGTTTTTATATCGCTAATAAGATGGCATAGACCTCTACAGAGTCATTATAGAGTGATACAATGTCAATTTTATAAATTGACCTCGTATACCATTTTATGGTATTTTACAATGGTTGATCTAGAGGCCAGGAGGGACTCCGTTAATAGAATGTCAGTGCCGGAGCCCCGAAAATCCCCTTTACTCTCACAAACAGCTTTGAAAGTGAAATAAGCTTCACCCAAAATCAATCTGCCTTTTTTTCAGGAGCCAATAACTCCTACTTCTTTTAAATATAAAAACCACATTAACTCCAATTCTTCCACCCTGACCCTCCTTGTGAAGGCCCCTAGGTCCGCCAGTGCTCTTTACAAAGACTAAGTTGGATGCGTGTCGTTCAAGTTCTCTTGAAATATATTTTCCATGCGTCCATTGTAGCTTATATTATTCTATTTTTGGACACATGAGTCTCCATGAGTATCATTTTTATCTTATGTGTTTTGATTGTATTGCGTTCTTGTGTTTGCTTACGTTATGTACCTGACTGCCTATATATGATTTTGTTGTAGTATTGCTGTGCGGTCGTTCTATCCCATAACATGGTTATTTCAGGTAGCCAATACTCTTAGCTTCCCTAATTTACTGACACGATTTGTAAATTACGAATAAAGAATGGGTAAAATAAAGCGTTGTTAATTAGTTGTTGTTGTTGTTAAAAAGAAAGGAGGTAAAAGAAAAGGGGCATTACTTGGTTAAATATTCAGAACAGTCATTTATTCTACTTGTTAGTACGATGTGACTAGCCCCGCGAGTGGCAAGATGAACCAAACCCGGCGCTGTGATTGGCTACCCGAGCGCGCAAGATAAGGCCGTCTTGCCTGTTTGGGACTACGCGCTGCTTCACTTGAAGAAAATGGTTCTTTATGCTATACAATAAATTCTCTATTGAACAAGTTTGTTCTATAAAGATGGCTGCCGATACTGGCGTCTTTTTTGGCAATTTTTTGAGCCTCAACTGTTCTTGGTCCATAAACAGGCAAAAAAAAAAAGAAGAAAAGAACTTGGTCATGTCCAACCTTACTCGTTCATGGAAACTGAAAAAATTAACGCGACCCGAGTTTAGTGACCAGTAGTAGTTGTTGAATTAAGGTCGCTCGCGCTTATTGTTTCTGCGCATCCTTACTGCGCACGCAAATTTACACGTCACGTCATGCATGAGAGCGCGCGCTAAGTAATAAAATGAACAATGAAAGGGCAGATAGCCATTGCTATAGCTTTGCCTAGATTTAACGATCTTGGACGTTCGGTGACCCATATTTTTCTTTCCAGAAACAGAGTCTATTTACAATTATCTCCACATTGTCCAACAATGAACAAAAAATTAATGTGGGAAGTTAAAAAAAATTCAAGATTTCTGTTCACGGGACATCAAATCCTGCCATCTTGCGGCTACAAGGCGCGTGAAACTATGGTCGCCAAATGCGAACTTGTTCTTAAAGGAAACTCACCAGTTGACTAAATTCACTTAATGGGTCCACTTAAACAATATTTAGCAGAGAACATTTCGCTTCAAAGTTCTAATTGCAATATTTTTGGGCTTACAGACACTGTGGCCTTATTTGCTAACGAAGCCCAACTTTTTTAGATTTAAGGTGTCCTTCCGGTCATGTCCTCTCCAAAACGAAGTCGGTGACCGCCCATTTTTTTTACATTTCTGACATAACTAACTCATCATTTTACAGTGGTAAGTGTCTTAAAATGAAGAATGTGAAATCCACTTGATCTCACTACATGTGTCAAAACTTAACTCAGAGATGAACCCAGAGCTTTACAGTGGAATACAGAAATAAAACTTCAACTGAAAATTAGCAGCTCCATATCATGTTCACATACATGAACATGTACATATAGAGTAACATCGGTCCTTTATATTGGGACTACAATTAAATGAAACTACTATAGAACCCATCATAAGGGAACACAAAAACAGAATGTGTTAATCTGTTTCTATTAATTGAATACAAATCTTGCAAAGTTATTATTATTCGAAAAAGTTAGTTAGTTAGTTACTTAGTTTTCCTAACTGTTCCAGCTTATGCCTGTTGAATTTTTATTCAATTTTTAAAATGATTGTTATCATGCTGTACTTCTACTACATGCGTTCTGCTACTGTAAAAATTATGTTATTTAGAACTCAATTAAAAATATATAATCTGCATGTATAGGAGACTTTTGGCTACAAAAGCGTTTACGTGCTACATAGCGTTACTAACGCTACTTAATTAGCGTTACTTACTAACGCTACTTAGCGTTTATGTGCTACAGCATGGTAGTCAGTATTTCAGTGGACTTAATAAGAAAGAAATTGTTCCTATTAAAAGCGGTGCTCATATTGATTTTATTATGTAATAAATAATTATTTATTATAAAATGATTTTATCACAGAACAAATTCAGCCACATAAAGGGTTGCAATTAGCAACCATATGTGGACATCACAACCTATGCATCACATTTGACCAAAATATGTTTATTTTCCTGTTTTTGACTGCAGTACCACGAAGAACTCTACAATGATCAATTTCTCGTCTCTTTTTATTCAACTACCTTTTCTACATTCATCCAGTAGGCCATTTCCAAGTTGCCTTTTGCCTCTGTGCCAAAACTAGTCTAAGTGCGAAACCATTCATATGACTTCCGCCTACAGGTTCATTTTCGTGCAAATCAAACTCAGTTTTGCACGACGACTCCCTTTGAAACTGAGGCACAAAGAAACATTCATCCATGAGCTGGCTCACAGGAGCCTATGATTTTTACATTTCTGACATAACTAGCTCATCATTTCACAGTGGTAAAAGTCTCAGAAAAAATCAATGTTGGAAAATTTTCGCGCGAACGTCCTTAAATACTTTATTTTTAGGCAAAGCGCTTAAAAAAGTTCTTCATGTACCTTAATTGTCTATAATTCGCCCCTGTAGAGTCCCAAGGTTGAATATTGGCTATGTTCACCTTCTTGAAAAGGCAAGGATGGGGAAGTCCTTGCAGAAAATGGCATAGATGCCAACTGATCAAGTTATAAAGACGGAATAATTCTACCGATTAGGAGATACCCACAAAAGACACTTTAAAAGTAGACATCTTGAAATTAGTTGTGCTTGAATTGAAATGAAGTGAAACTCTTCAGCATTGGTCTAACCCTCTAGTCTTGTTACTAAATGAAAGCCTTGCATGTTGTGGGTAATACATGTTTGGAAATTAAGACCGAATTGATGTTAAACAAACTGATCAGAATTTTTTTGAAATGTTTATATTTGTGGCTTTTACACAATTTTCTTCCTATCGTATCGCAGTCCCAATGTTGCCACCGAACAATCCGAGCACGCCCTGCGTGCCTATCTTGGCAAACGCCTGACGGCCTTCAGTTTACAGGCCTTGGTCCGTAAAAAGCCAACACAACTGAGAATAAGACACGTCCATTTAAAACGTGATGATCAATTTCAAGATCCCGAAGACAGATGTACAGCTTCTTCCTCGCTTTTGTTTTAAGAATATCACAAAGGACTTCAAGAACCAACTTCTTGAAACTATTTAACGAATTTTCATGCGAAAGACCTTTACCTTTTTCTGGAAGAAAATATCATTTTACGAGTACGAGTGAGTGCGTGCTTTACTCGAGAATGTTTTTATTCATATCATTGTATGCTCTGTTGGTTGACGCACAGAAAATCTCTATGAAACATTCTGATGCAGCAAAACAATTTTCCACAATGGAATCCCGATTTTACGGTCATCGATTTAACGATCAACATTCTTTGTGTGAGTTCGTTATATAGTGAATGTACTGTGAAGGTCTCAGTGCATATGATTAAGAGATAAAAAGAATCGATTTACCAATTTACAATCCTCAAGAAATGCCGTGGGAAACTGGATTGTTTAATTTATGAAATGCTCTTCCAAAAACAAAAACCAACACTTAACATTCAATCTGACTCTATTAAAGCAAAACTTTTTATTTGACAGTTCAAGCGCACCACGCTTGGTATTTTT